GAAATTTTCTTCTCTAAGCGCTCGCCCCATAGGAAACTAATAAATTTTAACATAATCAAAAAGCATAGAAGTGATGGGTATGGCGGTGTTGCCATAGCTCTAAGAAAAAATATAAAATTCAAAAAAATTACATACAACACAGATAGTGACATAATTATCATCAAAACCCTCAATCTAGAACCGAATGTTGTAATCTGTTCTGCATATTTCCCACCAAGTGTAAGCATAAACAGTTTCAAACTAGAAACCCAAAGATTAATAGATTTCCTTGAAACCCTACCAAACACATTCATATTAGGAGACTTCAACGCTAGAGCAACGGCTTGGGGGGACAATATGAACTCTGGCAAGGGCAAACTTCTAGCGCAGCTCATTCAAGAATCCAGTTTTCAGTGTTTAAATAATGGTAACTACACGTTCCAAAGAGACCCCAGAATCAACAACGGCTCCGTGCTGGATCTCACCCTTACAAACTCGAACCTCACCTGCATCTGGAAAGTCGACACAACCAGGATTGGTGGTAGTCATCACTTTCCGGTAATGATAGAAACTAGCAACTGCAAACTTAAATCAAATAGTTTCATAGCTAAAAACCAGCTACTAAAATCTCTAGAGACCCTTGACTGGGACTCAAATATCCAAGAGTTTGAAAGTAAGGTTCAAGAGGAAATCAAAAGTGCCACATACACCGTAAGTGAGGGCAGATCCCCAAAACCCTGGTGGAACGAAAACCTCCACAAGCTGTACAGACTGCTCATTGCCGCAAGCCAAAAAGCTAGAAGAATTCCAAGCGTGGAAAATTTTGAAAATCTAATATCTCAAAAAAAGATATGGAAAAAAGAAGTTAAAAAGGCTAAAAAAGAAAATTTTGAGGAAAAAATTAAAGAACTCAACTCAGGTATAGGAAGGAAGGGCTGGCGCTTCGTAAAAGCATTAAGAGGTGACTTTAACCAGGACCACTCTGGTATGTGGAACAGTGATAATAATCAAGCCTTCTTAGATGCGTTAAAGGAACAGGTTCCAACAACTGTTTCATCACACGCAATAAACAATCCTATAGATCAGTTTCCAAACCTAACCTTCAGTTTCGAGGAAATCAAGGACACAATATACAGAAAGAAAAAGAACTCTGCGGGGGGTGTAGACCAAATTACATACAACATGTTAAGAAGACTCCGACCTTACTTTTAACAACCTAAAAACCTGCTTAAACGACATCTTCATATCCAACAAAATCCCAGAAAATTGGAGAGTTGTAAAAATAGTACCCATCCCCAAGAAAGAAAAGGATCTAAACCACTATCAAAACTTTCGCCCTATAGCCCTAATTCCGGTTCTCCTAAAAGTCATAAATGCCTGCGTAAAAGATCGCTTAGATCAATTTCTTGAAAAAAACAGTCTTCTACCATCCACCACTTTCGCCTACAGGAAACACAGATCACCTGCCACTTGCTTGAACCAAATGTTACATCAAACAGCTCAACTTAAAAACAACAAAAAACATGTTATCCTATGCACAACAGACATCTCAAACGCTTACAACTGTGTGGACATAAATATTCTAAAAACACAACTCTTAGGTCTTAATACTGAACAGTTATACGTCGAATGGATAATAAACTTTTTAGCTCTCCGCATACTCAAACTTGGAAATAGCACAATAGAAATTCACAATGGGCTACCCCAGGGCAGCTGCCTATCCCCCACCCTATTTAACATATACACCTCAAATTTACACCATCTAATAGACCAAAACACGCAGCTATATCAGTTTGCAGATGACTTCTTCTTTCTTTCCTCAGGCACCTGCTTTGAGGAGGCAAACCAAAACCTACAAGCAAAACTGAGCTCTTTTTCAATCGAATGCACCCAACTGAATTTCAACTTTAACCCGTGCAAAACTAAAGTTCTACACATCAGTAAAGGTCCCAAAAGGGAAATTGTTATAAATGTAAATAACTCAAGACTGGTACAATCAAACTCAGTGAGAGTGCTAGGCAGGGTTATTAACAGCTCCCTCACTTCAAAAGATCACTATAGCAGCATAATAAACATGTCTAGCCACAACCTAAATCTTTTTAAATATATCACAAATGTCAAATCAGGTCTCCACCCTCAAATAGCACTCAATATATATAAATCTATGGTCCGATCCAAAATTGAGTACTGCAACACCACCCTAGCCAATAGCCCTAAAGCTGCCTTTGGCAAAGTTCAAGTCCTACAAAACAAAATCCTGAGAAGATGTCTTGGTCTTACACCGTCAACCCCAATCCAAACTATCTATGCTTTAGCGAATGAACTCCCTCCATCTGAAAGGGCCACATGGCTCACAGCCAAAGAAATAGTCAAACTAGCAGCATTGCAGGATCCGATAGTCACCTCAATCAAATCAAATTTGTCCCTAAATTCCAGCTACTCAATAGTATATAACAAATTTTCCAACATTTTTGACAGTCTTGATGTGGTAGACCGACATCTGACTGCGGCCAATCTAGAAATTATTGGCAAAACAATCACCACCAAGAAATCCGACATAACAGTGGAAGACATAAAAGCACAGCATGCCTCAATGGTTGATGACTATCTAAGCAGGAATTTCACCATCATCTGCACGGATGCTTCCCTAGCGGAAAACAAAACAGGCTGTGGAATCTACATACTGAACACCAATTCTGAGCACACCTTTCATGTTTCATTCAAATCTTCATCGGCCTTTGGGGAACTACTGGCCATAGAGGAAACAATAGACATTGCATCAAAAAACAATTACACCTCTCTGGTAATCTTCACCGACAGCTTAGTCTCCTGCCAAACCCTCAAAGACAAATATTCCAACAACAGTATTGCAGCAAGAATCCATAATAAAATTAATCAGGGTAATTTTTCTAGTGTTCAGGTAAGATGGATTCCCAGCCACAAGAGTCTCCCAGGCAACGAAAGAGCGGACGAGCTTGCCAAAAAAGCCACTGAGCAGAGCAATAGTAAGACTGTCAAACTCACAGTTGACGAAGCGTGTAAGCAGATTAAAAACCAAATATATGATGAAGTATACAACAATTTTCTTAACCGGCCCAACTCCAACAGCAACCTCTTTGCCACCACCTTTCCTACAAGGAGAGGCACTACCTGGTTCAAAAAACTAAATCTCAGTCCCAAAGACATAAAAATTTTAAACAGGGTTCTCTCAGGACATACCTATGACAAGGCTTACCTTGTCAAAATCAAGGCTATAAACTCGTCTCAATGTCGCTGTGGCCATCAGGACACCTATGAACACCAAACCTTTCACTGTCGCTTTCTATCCAATCACAGAGCCAATCTCGATGTTTTTAAAAATGCACGCAACTTTGAGGAAATCTTTAAGGATTGTGATAAAGCCAGAATCACTGAACTATCGTTATTTTTTCAAAAAGCCAATGTAAAATTTTAATATAGTTACCTTTTATGCAGCATTCGTGTACATATGTTATATGTACTTCTGTTTTTACTTTTACTTATGTTTTTCGTATGTACGTCAAATTTATTGTTTTATGTTTATAAATAACTCGTATCCACCTCACTCATTCCTACTACATCCGCCGCCGAAGTATGTCCTCACTTCGTGCCTAGTCTAATTACGCACAAAACCCATCGGTTTATGCAACTATCAAGCTGCAATCGTTATCCACTTCCTTTGACACATCGCTATCACAAAAGTCAAAATTCAGGAAAATTTCGCACTAACCAAACATTAGACGCCACGCTGCACAAAACACTACACACTCCCACCAAATCATAAGCGAGGACGTTGCATGGATACAATTTTTAATGCTGTTCACTGGACAAACTTAACATAAGAGGAATAACCTGGCGTCTCAGGACAAAAGTCTATGCCATCTGATCAAAGCTCAAAAAAAAAAAAACAAAAAAAAAAGAGCTAGTCGTGATTGTGCGTGCAGGTGTTCAAGGAATAGTTGTGCTAGGTTGTGTTGATTAAGAAAGCAATAAAAGTTGGTTTTTACTTATTGTTTTCCAACTAAAACAAAGTGCGTTTTATTTGGGTTTTGGGACTTAAACATTGGTCCATATCGAGCCGGATAGGAGCTAGTGCAATCCGAGATTGTTCTTTTACATAGTGCTAAGCCAAAATTGTATGGTATATGAAATAGGAGCTAGAAATGCATACATATAAATTACAAAGAGCTGCTTTCAATAGTTTCCTGTGAGCATGAATGAGCTAGAAATACATGTATTAAGCTAGATAAAATGCAAAGCTCACCTAAGGGTTAAAGTACAACAGAGATAATGAGCATGGTGAAACTCGTTTATATAAATGAGATAGAGCGAAAAAAATATAGAAGCACAACAGGTATGTGGGCATGGTGCAAAGAAACAAAGGCTTAGCCCGAAACTTCCAATAAGAGCGTATGGTGTGGTGAGAAGAAGGTGCTAGAAATTAACGTAAGTACGTCTGCTTGAACGAAGCGATTTGTGTAAAGACGTAAGGAGATTTATTATACAGAAAGTCTTTGTGAAGTGAAGATTCAAAAGCGAGACTATTTGATTCAAGAGTAAAAAACTATTGACAAACTATTTTTAAATTGCCGGTAAGCGCTAGTATACAGTCCATATAAATAGAGCAAAGAAAATAACGAGCATTCTGCAAGAGCCAGGAAATGTTCATTATTAAAGTGGGCTAGTGAATTGGAAACAATGAAGTGCAAGCGGCATCTTTCCGTGGTGCTAGTGGCAGTTGAGCTTAATTTGAATGGACTCCTGCAACTTGAAAATATATGTGCAAGTGATAGACGTGCGCATGTGTGATCGTGTTAAGCGGGAGTAAAACAAGTGAAATATAAATATAGCTGCGGTCTCTATTTGATATTTGAGTTGAATTAGCATTTGAGCGTGCTCAAATATGTGCTAGCAGAATCGGCGATACAAATGTTTTCTTCAGTGCTAGTTACAATAATGATAAATTCTTTTATTTATCAGGTACATTGTAGTAAAAATACAGGATGGCGAAAGTCGAGATGCTGTCGGTGTGTTCGGGCCATTGAACGAGCAGCTGCATATGTGCGGAGCGAGGAGTTTGCTTCTGTTACGCATCCCGGTGCTAGTGCGCGTTTAGAACGATGAGCTAGTACTAAATGTGAAAGAGGGTGACAAGACTAAAAATTATTATGTAGAGCTAGAGAAAGCCGAAGAAGGTTATATTGAAGCCCGTGCTGCGCTGCAGGGTAAAATAAATGAGCTTTGTCCAACACCAGTGCCTGTCAATGCGCCAGCAAATATTCAAGTGGAGCTGCAATATCCACAACGGCAGATAGATTTGAAAAACAATTGGGGTGAGTTTGATGGCGCTTTGACAAAATGGAAGGGGTTTCATGACCGATTTAAGGCTGTTGTGCACGATAATGAGCAAGTTGCGCCAGCATTTAAGTTTATTTATTTGCAAAAGTCGCTAGTGGGCAAGGCCGCACGTACCTTGGGCGAGTGGCAGTTGACCGATGAGAATTATCATGAAGCTTGGGAGCGATTAAAACAGCTGTATGATAAGAAATACCACACGTACCGTGAGTATTTTCGTCAATTGTATAGATTACCTTTTTTGGAGCGTGCATCATCGGATGCACTTCAGCGTATGGCGAATGTCACCCATGAGACATTACGCCAGTTCCGGGCACAGGGGTTGCCTGTTGAGCAATGGGATATGATTGTTGTGCATAATTTACATGAGCGCCTAGATGAAGAAACTGGCAAGGCATGGGGACTTCAGCGGCAATCCGAAACGCCAACAGCAGCTGAAATACGTTCCTAGATAAGCAGGTTGCCGCTTCCTCACATCAAGCGGATAATCGTCGTGCACGAGAGGCTAGTGCAGCTTCGACGACAACACGTGCTAGCGAATCTAAGAGGGCTCACCAAGGGGCTAGCCATGGAGTGAGTACGACCAGAGCTAGCATTGGGCAGAAGAGCAACGAGCGAGAGAAGAAAACATATCCGTGCTATCTATGTAAAGGAGATCATGGGCTCTACAAATGCCCAGATTTCTTAAACTTGAATTTGCGGGCACGCAAGGCATATGTAGAGCAGCATAAGTTATGTCCAAATTGTTTTAAGCAGGGGCATGCTGCAAAGGATTGTTACTCAGGACCTTGCAGTCGCTGTCCGGGTAAAATGCTTCATAATAGCGTTTTGTGCCCAACCAGGGAAGTCAACAAACATTTGATGCTGGTGCAGGAGAAAGGCAATCCTAACAGAGCTAGTAGCCCATCAAAGTCGGTACGGAGAACGGTAACATGACGTTCTGACAAGCAAGCAAGCGAAGCAGGACGGAGCTAGGAGCAGATAAGGTAATGGAACTTAATGTGTTAGAACGTAGTAATAATAAACAGGCAGAAGTGCACACACCCTCGTACAGCTGTGCGGCATCTGGGACCGCAACTAGACGAAATAGATCTCTATTACCTACTGCCCTTGTTCGATTGGAGATCAATGGTGTTGAGATTGGGCCATTCTACGCATTGTTGGATTCAGGAGCACAGCCAAATCTGATTTCGCATAACATTTTCAAGGCATATCAATTGCGGCTAATTCTGCAGGCACATGGTGGGCATAGAAGGGCAACCATTTGTTGTCAAAAAGAAAATAAGTGCTAGGGTTATGCCATGGTATGAGCCGCGTCAATATATTGAGGCAGAGTTTTGGATATTACCTGGACAGGGTGGGCTGAAGCTAGTAGTGCCATCTGGTCAGTCCAGCTTGACCAGATTGGCGAAACCGGAACAAGTGCCATTTGCTAATCCTTGTTATTGGGAATCACATGAGGTGCAGATCATGCTAGGCGTGCAAGTGTTTGCAAAGTGTCTGATTGGATTAATAGCCAGAAACTCAGATAACACTACCATGATAGAAACGACGTTTGGTATTGTTGTGCTTGGGCCATACATTGAGCCAATGAACTATGAGACCGGGACTGCTTTCTCCACTATAGGTTGCATTCGTCTTGAAGAGCTAGATAAGAAAGTACAGCGATTGTGGGAAATGGATCACGTCCGTGACTCACCCATCCGAACAAAAGAGCAAGAGATTGTTGAGCAGATGTTTATAGATACGTATTACCGGGATGATTTTGGACGCTTTGTTGTGACAATCCCCATAAAAAGTGCTAGTAGATTAGGAAGCTCCCGCTCAATTGCATTAAAACAGTTTTTTCTATTTGGAAAAGAGATTAGCTAAGGATCCCGAAATAGCTCGGAAATTTATAGATTTTATGCGCGAGTATGAGCGACTTGGACATATGGAAGAGGCTCAGAATAGTCCGTCTCCTAGTGAGCTAGTGTACTATATTCCACACCATTGTGTGCTTAAGAAATTTCGTGTTGTATTCAACGCTAGTTGCAAGACCGATTCAGGAGTATCTTTAAATGAAGTTCAAATGCTTGGTGAGAAGTTGCAGCGTGATCTCTCCGACATTATAATGCGTTTTAGGCGGCATCAAATTGGAATAAGCAGTGATGTGAAAATGATATTTAGGCAAATACGAATTATTGAGAGCCAGTATGACTTACAGCGGATATTTTGGCGGGAGAGTCCCAGAGAAAAGTTGCGTGAATACTTCTTAACAGTGGTTACATATGGGATGACTGCATCAGCACATTTAGAAGTGCGTTGCTTAATTCAGGCAGCTAGGGATCAGTTCGAATATTTTCCATCAGCAGCTAGAGCTATTATTGATGATTTTTATATGGATGATGGAATTACAGGGGCAAGTAATGACGAAGCGATCAGATTAGCTAGAGAAATGAGATTCGTGCTAGGTAGTGCTGGTATGGAACTATGTAAGTGGCGGTCCAATAGCAAAGTTCTTGTAAATGCTTTCCAATCAGAAGAACCGAATACATTGTTGCTGTCCGATAATGCGGATACATCGGTGCTAGGCTTGAAGTGGCATACTGATAGCGCCGAATTTACATTTGTGGTGAAGGCGCCAGCGGTACCTGTGGTGATTAGCAAGCGAATTGTTCTAAGTTGTGTTGCACAACTTTATGATCCAAATGGTTATATAACACCAGTTACATGGAAAAATAATAGTGCAAGATTTGTAGAGACTGAGCATGGGATGGGACGAGCAGGTTCCTCAGAGCATTAAAGATAGATGGCTAGAATTCTGGAAAGATATTTCGGTGCTAGAAAGATTCAAGTTACCTCGATATATTCGTGTATCAAACGATGGAACTATTCAGTTGCATGGATTTGCGGATGCATCCAAGAAAGGCTTCGGGGCAGTGATTTATGTGCGAGTTGTGTCTAGTCTGGGAATGTTAAGTTCTGAGTTGCTAAGTTCCACGGCTAGGGTTTCGCCATTGAAGACAATAACAATTCCTAAACTTGAGCTTGCTGCTGCTGAGCTTTTAGGTAGGTTATACTTGAGCGTTGTACGGAGCATGGAATGGCAGGCAGTGGACTATGTGATGTCGGATTCAACGGAAATTTCCGTGCCAGATGAAGGTCTATGTAGCGAATAGGGTGGCGTCTATTCAGGCAAATACTGACATCAATAAGTGATAATCCAGCTGATCTTCTGATTAGGGGTATGAGCGCTAGTGGAATTGTGGGCCATCAATTATGGTTGCATGGTCCCATTTGGCTTAGGCAACCAATCAAGGAATGGCCAAAAGGTGGTTTTGGGTATGAGGATATACCTGAAGGAGCATTGCCGGAGCTGAAATTGCATATTGCAGTTGAAGCAACTCCAACATGGAGCATTAAGAGCAATGGTAATGCGGAAAGAGTTCCGCTGGTACAATGTGCTAGTTCATTGGACAGATTAATTGGAATCATGTCGCAAGTGCGCAAGTGTGCGTCTGTTGAGAGCAAAGGGTAATCGACAGCTTCGAAAGTCAAGCCGTGGAGACTTACAGCAAAATTGAATAACTAAAGCCAACGTTAGATAGAAATGGCTATCTACGCGTAGGTGGTAGAATCGGAAGAGCAGAATGTGATTATGAAATGAAGCATCCGGTAATTATTCCATCTGGTTCCAGCTTGAGTCAGCTGATTATAAGTAAAGCGCATCAGGCCACTAAACATGGTGGCGCTCAGGAGATGATGNTTGTACGGAGCATGGAATGGCAGGCAGTGGACTATGTGATGTCGGATTCAACCATAGTCCTGCATTGGCTACGGAAATTTCCGTGCCAGATGAAGGTCTATGTAGCGAATAGGGTGGCGTCTATTCAGGCAAATACTGACATCAATAAGTGATAATCCAGCTGATCTTCTGATTAGGGGTATGAGCGCTAGTGGAATTGTGGGCCATCAATTATGGTTGCATGGTCCCATTTGGCTTAGGCAACCAATCAAGGAATGGCCAAAAGGTGGTTTTGGGTATGAGGATATACCTGAAGGAGCATTGCCGGAGCTGAAATTGCATATTGCAGTTGAAGCAACTCCAACATGGAGCATTAAGAGCAATGGTAATGCGGAAAGAGTTCCGCTGGTACAATGTGCTAGTTCATTGGACAGATTAATTGGAATCATGTCGCAAGTGCTAAGATTTGTGCGTCTGTTGAGAGCAAAGGGTAATCGACAGCTTCGAAAGTCAAGCCGTGGAGACTTACAGCAAAATTGAATAACTAAAGCCAACGTTAGATAGAAATGGCTATCTACGCGTAGGTGGTAGAATCGGAAGAGCAGAATGTGATTATGAAATGAAGCATCCGGTAATTATTCCATCTGGTTCCAGCTTGAGTCAGCTGATTATAAGTAAAGCGCATCAGGCCACTAAACATGGTGGCGCTCAGGTGATGATGCAATACATTCGACAGCGTTTTTGGATACCGCGCTTACGAAGTGAGCTTAGGAAATTCACGCATAAGTGCGTCACATGTGCTAGATATGCCAAAAGGTTAAGTGAGCAACTGATGGCTGACTTAACAGTGGATTGGGTGCAAGTCGGGAAACCATTTCTACACTCAGGTGTGGATTATGCGGGACCCTTTGAAATCAGACAGCTAGATAAAAATGGGCGTTGCGTAGTAAAACGGAAGAGCTGGGTAGCCATATTTGTGTGCCTGAAAACAAGAGCTGTGCATATTGATATGATCACTGATCTGAGTGCTAGAGCCTTTAAGTCCCAAAACCCAAATAAAACTCACTTTGTTTAAGTTGGAAAACAATAAGTAAAAAACCAACTTTTATTGTTTGCTTTAATAATCAAAGCAACCTAGCACAACTATTCCTTGCACACCTGCACGCACAATCACGACTAGCTCAGAACACATTTCACAATATAATACGCAAAAATATCAGACTAGCACGTATCGACCATTCACCACAGATTGTTACCAGATCAATATTATTCTCATCATATAACTTCGTATGAAGCTTGGTTCATACGGAACACTGCCCCGTTGAGCTTGCTCAATTTGGTTCCATCTAGCCCTCACTATTATTCAGTATTAGCACTCGTATCGACCGGTAAGACGCAAATCTTCTGTACTGGCCGAGCTAGCTCGTTAGTAGCTGTTCGCACAACCATGTTGCGCACTAGCCCATCTTTGCTCATTATCAGCTCACTAACTCTTCCTAAAGCCCAAGCGGATGGTGGAAAGTTTTCACTCTTGATGATGACTAGCTGGCCGATCTTTAGGCTTTCTTGCTCCTTGCGCCACTTCTTCCTCTCCAGCAAGGTTGTAAGATACTCATTTCGCCAACGTTGCCATATATGAGTTACCATGGTCTGTCTTTCTTGCCATAGCTTTCGCCCTTTGGTGCCTGGTTGTGGCGCTATATCGAATGGAGGAGGGAGAACCAACAAATGATGTCCCATTGTCGCTGTACATTCTCTCACATCTCCCGCGCCTTGCAATGAATCGCTCATAACAAGCTA